CCTTCACCACTCACCTGGGCTCGTGCAACTGCTTCCTAAGTGGTCTTCCTGCCTTGAGTCCTGTTTGCCCCCAGATCTTTTTCCACAAAGAGCAGCCTGGCCCTGAGAGGTGGGGTGGCCTGGTGGGTTAAAAACGTGGCTCTGGAGCCAGGCTGCCTGGGTTCCAATCCTGGCTCCTCCAGATTTGTGATCTTGAGCAGCTACTTCAACGTTCTGGGCCTCAGTTTGCCTAATCTATAAAACAGCAGTGCTGATTTCTAGGTGCCTGGAAGCCAGTGAGGATTAAGTGAACTAATATAGATGAAGCTTACCACAGCGGCTGCCAGACCCAACAGCTCAATGCACGACACCTTCTCTTCTCACCTCTTGGTAACTCCTTGATTCGCGTTCGACACTCCCGTTAAATGTCTTTTTTTGTGGTTCCTCTAACAAAACAGACTACCAAGCATTCACACATGCCGCCTGTTACATTCTCCCCAAAGCGCCTCCCTTTTCCCCTGTCCATCGACTGTTCATCTCTCTGCTCTTAGAGGCTATTTTCTTTGGAAAGCTCCTCTCGCCCATCAAATTCCAATTAGGCACCCCCCTTTTGGGTTCCCATGGCGCCCTTACTTCCCATCGATGCACTTGCTACTTTGTATTTTTAAATTTTTATTATGAACGTTTTCGCATGGAAAAACCAAAAGCCCAAAGAATAGTAGAACAGTACAATGAACTCTCATATACTCCCAGCAACGGGTAACATTTTACCATCTTTGCTCTGTGTGTGTGTGTGTGTGTGTATTCATTTTGTTTCCAAGTAAATTACCGACATTATGCTCCTTCACCCCTAAATATTTCAAGTGGCATCTCCAAAAAAGGAAGAAAGCTGAGGAGTATTCTACCTAAAATACAATGCCATAATCACACTTTTAGAAATGAATCATTCTCTAATGTCACTGAATACTTGTCCCATATCCAAATTTCCCCAACCCTTCCCCAATTCCTTTTCCAGTCTTTCTGCTACATTTCATTTGAATTGGGCTGTAAGCTCTGAGAGGAATGGAATGTGTCCCCTCTGCTTCCCTCTCCCTAGCACTCAGCTCATGGCAAGCCCTCAGTACCTATTTGTTAAAAGAAAGAACAACCTCTATGCCCGACTTCCTCCTGCTGAAAAGGGTCTTCAGCCAGCTCCAATCCCAGCCCAGCTGCCCCCTACACACACACACACACACACACACACACACACACTCACCCCTTGGTAATGACATAGCGTCTCTTCAGTGCGCCACGTCAGAAACCAGAGGGACATTCTAGATGCCTCTGTCAGTTGACCCCACACAGCTCTCACACTGTCTCCTGCCTAACCCATTCCTCTCTCCATTCTGGAGGGCAGAGCTGTGGTTCGGTCCTTCATCCTCCGTTGCCCAGCTCCCTGGGTCTTGACACCTCGGATGACCCAATGTACCCCTGTCCTGCCTCAGAGCTTGCTCTTCCCAGGTGCCGTTCAACAACCCGTCCCTTCCCAGCAGAGGACCCACAAAGGCCCTGAGCGTAATAGGTATTCACTAAATGATTGCTGAGTGCATAAAGAGAAATATCTCCTTCTTCCCTGGCCTAAGTTCACTGCCGCCCCAGCGCATCCCTGTGGTGCTATTCCCTGGGCCCCAGACTCCACCCCAGCACAGCCCAGCTCAGCACTGCTTGCAGATGGATCCTGGACACAGCCTCGGCACACAGCTTCCAAACGGCTGCCAGATCCATTTGTCATTCTTCCTTCCCTAGGCAATTGTGCAAAGATGGGCAACGGCAGGCCTGCACTTTTTATATTTAAAGAAAATGATTAAAAATCTAAAACAGAGAAAGCTTAAAAATCAAGATCTTTCTATTTTTAAGTCTTCTTTAGGTCAAGTACCTCCTGGGGGATACAGGGTGAGATGATACAGCCCCTTCTGCCTCAAATAAGATTTGCAGAATGCAATATTGCTTTTGTGTGCTTTTGCAAAGAAAGCTATTCCACTGCCCTGTCATTACTGGGCTGATGGAGTTACGCTAGGGGAGGGCAGAGGGTTCCAGCAGAGATCCCTTCGGTACACGGAGCCCATCTGATGCTGGACCTGCCACCCCTGGCACCAGCCCCTGCTTTCCAACTGGAACATTCAAACGAGGTGGGGGACTTTACCTTTTTACCTTCCTAACATTCTGCTAAGAAGGAACTTCCTCCCAGCACAGAACAAAGGCCAGCGGTCAAAAGCTCTCAGAAACCTGGTGGTGAAGGCCCAGGGAAGTGACTGAAGTGGGTCAAGGTGGATCTCCACTCCCTGCTCCCCACTGGCTCCACCATCTACCTTGGGGGAGTTCCTGAACCCATCTAAGCTCCAGCTTCTCCTCCTTCAGCTAGACGAGGACACCGTCATCTTCCTCATAGGGTTCTTCATGAAAATTAAATGGGGCATTGTAGGTGTAGCAGGTGGGAAGACTATTTGAATCTCAGTGTGTGTTGAAGACACAAGCCATCAGGGGACACATTCCAAGGGAGCTGTGACGCCATCATGCAGGAGTTGCAAAAGAAACCAGCTGCCTCTTATTGGACCATCCCCAGCCTGCAAAGGAGGGCTGGATTGAGGAAACAGTGGGAGCTGGAGGAGGAATTTTCGAGTGAACGATAGGTGTGCTCCAAGTCCCAGCTGTCCACTCCCCACCTCCCAGGAGTGATCTGTATCCCCACAGCTTGAGCATCTCTAAGGACTCATGTCTGCATCATGCCTTAGAAGCCCAAAGCCAAGAGAGATGGAGCGGCCAGCTGGAGAGAGGGGGCCCGGAGGTTTTGGATTTGCCAGGGTAAAGAGGAGTTGAGTATTTCTGATAAGCCAGAGGTATGCAACAGGTGACCTAGGGAGTTTTGTAGATCCTCCGGAAGAGGGCCACCAGGAGGAGTGGAACCCTTCCCCAGACAGAAGCTGACAGCACCTGGTCTGGCTGAATTGTGTGGCCCCCACCCCCAAACTCAAATGTTCAAGCCCTGACTCCCAGTACCTCAGAATGTAACTGTATTTGGAGATAGGGCTTTAAACGAGGTGATCAAGTTAAAATGAGGCCTTTAGGGTGGACCCTCATCCAATCCAACTGGTGTCTTCACAAGAAGACAAGATTTGGACACACAGAGAGATAACGGGGTGCACGCAGGGTAAGGGAAGACCGTGTGAAGAACAGGGAGAAGACAGCCAACCCCAAGCCAAAGAGAGAGGCCTCAGAAGACACCAAGCCTGTCAACGCCTTGGACTTCCAGCCTCCAGAACTGTAAGAAAATTAGTCTCTGTTGTTTAAGACACCCAGTCTGTGGTCTTTGTTTTGGCCGCCCCTCCAAACTAGTAAGCACTGCTCAGACACTGGGGGATGGAAGAAGGAGTCTGAGGCAGCCAGCTTCGAGGGATCAGCAGTTTAGAAATCCCCAAAAATGAGGAAGGAGGGTGTTCTCTGAAGTAACTATAAAATTGTGCCAAGAGATAAAGAATCAGGTGTAAACACCCACCAGGCCCAGCCAGCCAACCTCAGTATTAACCAAGTAAGAACTCCCTGCTCCTCTGCGTCCTCCTCTCTCCCCATCTCCTGTCGCTGCCGGGGGTCAGAATCCTCAGTGAGCCCGATGGAAGCATAGGTGAGAAGCAGGAAACCCACCACAGGCTCCCTTTCCCTGCTCCAGGCCCCAGCTGGAGGAGGGAGAGAGTCTCCACGTGGAGCAACGTTTGAAGGTCTGAGTTATTCCACACACTTGAACGTAGCCATTACTGAACTGAGACAGTGTTGGAACTAAAGAGGTAGCCAGGAGAGGCATGGGCCTGTCCTAATTTTCATCCTGGGGCAGGGAAAGAAGGGGACACCGCAGGAAAAAATTGAGGGGCGGTTACAGACCAAAGTAAAGTTGGCTTCCTCAATGTCCCCCCATGAGTCCTGTGTATTTGCCATACGTCCTCCTACACGGGTGGCCGCTCAGCCCAGTCTCTGGCCAACCAAGTAGGAGATGTCTTTGGGGAGCAATTATCATCATTCCAAAGTCCTTCCCTGCCACCGTCGGGCAGTTCTACCTTCATCGAGCAAGGCAAAAAGCTCACAGCAGCAAACCATTTCAGACCTTCTGCATTCCCCAAGCCAGCAACGTAAGTGTAGATCTTCTACAAAGCCAGGAACAGAATGCTACCCTCTACACCTCATGACCCGGAGGAGGACACTTAACTCCAGACCAGCCACAGGGCTGGGCAGGCTTTAGAGTCACATAGCACTCCGGAGAGACCTGAGCTCAAATCCTGCCTCTGCCACGTGACAGCTGCGGACCCTCGGAGAGTTACTTAACTTCCCTGCACTTCAGTTGCTTCCTCAATAAAATGGAGACCATAAAAGTATCCATCCGATAGAGCTATTATGTGGAATAAATGAGGACATAGAGGCGAAACCCTGGGAACGTTGCCTGGCACAGGGCAAAGGGCTCAGGACACATAGTTATCATTATACATCACTGCCTCTCAAGGTGAAACCTTGGAATGACCTTGATTTATTGTACAAAACATTATGTAAGAAGCCTACGGTGAAAAGCACAGATTCTAGGACCAGACTGCCCGGAATCAAGCAAGAATGGAAAACACATTGTATAAGTGTTTGCTATAATTGCTATCAATACGGTAAAATACATAGAGTGATACATACCCAAATACAGTAAGTACAAGAAGAGCATAATAATGGCAGCAATGATTAAGGGAACAGTCATTTCCATCAATCCACATGGACCCTGAAGTTTCTTGTTACCCAAAGACATCAGAGGCACTAAGGGTCAGAGAGGCAGAGTGTGTCCCTAATTGGGAGGCTGCTGAACTTGACCTTAGTTTCATTTGTTTGCCAGCAGATGGTGGCTCTCCAGCAAACAGGATATCTAGAAAACAGAAACCCATCCTCCTCGGGCTGGACCCTCAGCCTTTGCCTCTGGCCCCGCTCCCCGCCAACAGCTCTCAGCCTGTCTCCCATGTTACCTGGTCTGGTTCCTTCCTCCAGGGCAGGTCCCACTTTGCAGGGGAGAGGTGAGGGGCCACCGCCTTCCAGCCTCCTGAGAAGGTGACATTTTGATGGGCCCCGCTGTCTCCGGGCCTAGCTCTCCATCAGTTCCCACCGACCCCGGGCGTGAGGACTGCCAGAGAGACAGATGGAAAAGATGAAAAGCTGGTACCTCCCGCAGGAAATAATTGTCTAGCTGATCCCAGAACTGAAAAACACAAGTATAACATTGGAGAAAGGAGCGCAAAGTGCCATTCAAGGCCATTGTTACTGCCTCCTCTCTGTGTATCAAGGAAACAAAGAGGCCCTGTGTGTGAGGACAATGCCGTATGTTACCAGCCACTTCTGTGTTACTCCTGGGGATGGGAGGGTGAGAAACGAGGCCACATGGCCCTCCCAGCCTGATGCGCTCTGGACTTCACTAATCACAACCTCCAGGCTAGCCAGAGCCAGGGGAGGAAATTTGGACTCCCAGCTCATGGGGTTCTGAAATGGGGCGACAGGGGACACCCCCTTTGGAGGGACCAGGTGGGTACCTGCTAGTCTTCCAGGCATCACGAATTGACAAATGCCCCCTCTCCTCTCCCTCCCCTCCTCTCTTGCTACCTCTCTGAGACTTACCACAAGTTAGAGCTGGAAAGAATGGCAGACATCATCTCTCCAAACACGGGTGTCTTCTACACCAACCCCCGGTTTTAGTGAGGGGTACCTGACCAGGACTAGTGCCTGGCTGTGTAGCATGCCAGCAGCAGTTGCAAAGCCAGGTGAATCATTATGTGGCAGCCTCCACTGAACCAACCCCCCCCCCGCCCCCGCTCAATGGACCAGGCACTCTATCATGAGCAAGCTCGCAAAATGACCTCATTTGCTCCTGCCTTCAAATCCTTGGTCTGCCACTAATTACCCATGAATTATGAGTTCACTTTCTGGCCCTTCGTTTTCCCACTTGTAAACTGGGAATATTCATGGGTTACTGTGAGTACTGAATGAGCTTAAACATGCAAAGCTCTTAGAACCATGTTTGAGCCATATAAATCACTTGAGAAGCATGAATGGGAGATTAGACGTCCACCCGCAACTTGCTTAGGCTCATGGTGAGACGAGATACAGATAACCGGAAACCCAGGATCTCAAATACAAACTCGGCCTGGCCATCGACTATGGCCTCACTTTACCTCCTTAGGTCCCCGAGGGAAGTAGGGCACTAACGAATACTCTCCTGCAGGGATAAGGCAGATGACATGTGGGGATGGCCAACTGTGACATAACAGGGAGCAGTGGGGACAGTGAGGGTTTGGAGAGCCTGTGCCTGTCTTCAGGGGGCAGCCAGGACTTAGCTCTAGCCAGCTGCTGCATGGTGGGAGCAGCATGGCTAGGCCCATCAATTTTTAGAGAAAAGCCAGAAATCTGGACTTTTAGGTGGCACTTCTTAATTTTGAAATGCTGCATTAACTAAGACAAATGTTAGTACAAAGGGAACTCCAGATCATGCAGCTTGTGTTGCCTGATCTGGACATAGACAGCATGTCCAAGCCAGTATGCACCTGCCATTTTCAGGTCTTCTGTCCGTAATTTGCCTGCAGTCTCCCAGTGAGCTGATCAGTCCACTTCAAAACCAGTCTTTGACTTAGAGCAGGTGGTATAAGACCAAAACGGTGAAGCAGCCCCCTTTCTCTGTGGACACCCGCCCTCATCTCCATCCCTGAAATGGGGGTGAGGAAAAGGGAAAGCAGGGAAATGAGGGGACTCTCCCTAAAGGACCATAGGCTCCTTGGCCTCATCCACTTCCTGCAGGTATTCTTCTAATAAAGAAGGCAGCCCAGACCTGGTGGTGGGACCCAAGGGCAGACTGGGCGCTTAAGCCCCCATGATCTCCATCAGTCACCTCAAACGAACATCGGTAGCCTAAATGACAACGTGGGCTGGCTATGCAAAGTTCAACTCTGAGGCAAGCTTGCTTGCAACAAGACACTGCCTCACACCTACCAAGACGGCAGTCATCAGACAGACGGATAATAACAAGTGTCGGTGAGGGTGTGGGGAAATTGGAACCCTCAGACATTGCTGATGGGAAGGTAAATGGCGCAGCCACTCTGGGAAACAGTCTGGCACCTCCTCAAAAAGTTAAACACAGAGCTACCCTGTGGCTCCTGGGTATATACCCCAAGAGAAATGAAAATATCAATTGACACAAAAGCTTGTTCAAGAGTGTTCACAGCAGCATTACTCATGACAGCCAGAAGGCAGAAATGACCACGTATCCATCATCTGGTGAATAAACCCCTGAATAAACCACAGGGCTGGGCAGGCTTTAGAGTCACACAACACTCAGCCATCAAAAGAGATGACGTCTTGGGGCATCTGGGTGGCTCAGTCGTTAAGCGTCGGCCTTCAGCTGAGGTCATGATCCCAGGGTCCTGGGATCGAGCCCCGCATCGGGCTCCCTGCTCCCCTGGAAGCCTGCTTCTCCCTCCCCCACTCCCCCTGCTTGTGCTCCTGCTCTTGCTAGTTCTTTCTCTGTCAAATAAATAAATAAAATCTTAAAAAAAAAAAAAAGGAATGACATCCTGATACATGATACCCAACGTGGATGACCCTTGAAGACATCAAGTTAAGGGGCAGATATTGATGAAAACAACCGCATCTGATTCCATGTGTCTGCCCTGTCCAGAACAGGTAAATCAAGAGGAGAGAGAAGAGATTCGTGGTGGCCTGGGGCTGGGGTGTGATGGAAAGAGAAGGGGAGAATATAGCTAACGGGTGTGGTTGTTTTTTTGGTGGTATGTTCTTGCATTGTGGTGATGGTTACACAACTCTGTGAATATACTAAAATCCACTGGATTGTACACTTTAAGTGGGTAAATTGTATATGTGAATTCCTCTCTATAAAGCTGTTAGCAACTACAACAATAACAACAACAACAACAACCAAAACAACAACAGAACTCTCAAACTAAGATTGCTGCCCCTAATCACCTTCTATTTAAAAAGTCTGCATTCATGCTGCTCTCCTCACATCAGCCCCACTGCAGAAGACAGGACAAGTGTTCTAAAAAGATGATTTTCCTTACACGAGGGTGAAGAGCTAGGCTGGTTTGCCCAGGACTGTCCCAGTGTTAGCCCTGCAAGTGTTGTGTCCCAGGAAATCCCTCCTTCTTGGACAAACTGAGATGGTCGATCACCCTTGTGGCAACCCTTTCTCATAGCACAAGAACGCTCTGCCCTTCAGATCTGTCAATGGCTCAGATGGAGTCTCCAAATAAATAACCCTTCTCTCTCTGGGGTATAAATCATCCTTGAGCTCCCCATAATCATCAAAAGGTATTTTAATTGTTGTTTCCATTTTACAGATGAGGAGACTGAGGTTCAGAGAGATGAAGTAACTTGCCAGAAGCACACAGGAGCCAGGAATTGAACCTGAGTCTTTTTCCAAAGGTACCGCCTCCATTCGTTATCTTGTCTCTCATCACATCACTGGGCTGATTATCCAGGAACACCCTCAGATTGTTCTTGCCCCCTTGGGAAGGGGGTCAGACATCCAGACAGAAGAAGCATGCGTTTTCAGCTCATAGTCTTCAGCTATGGGAAGACAAGGAGACATATACAGCTTGGCAATTAACAGCACAGACTCTGGAGCCCAACTGCTCGAGTTCAATTCTGGGCTCTGCCACTACTTAGCTGTGACCTTGGACAAGTTACTTAACTTCTCTGTATTCTCTGTACCTCGGTTTCCTCATATGTAAAATGGGAAAAATAATAGTATTGTGTGTGTGTGTGTGTGTGTGTGTATCACATAGGATTATTATAGGAAGTAAGTAAATCAGTTAGCGTGAGAAGCTTAGAAATGAGGAAAGGAGCCTGGCTCATGTCAAGTTTATTAAATAAATGAAAGTAAGCACAAATTCATAGACCCAGAATTGGAAAGAAATCAGATGAGGCCTAACAAAAACCATGTAGTGGGACCAAATTATGGAAATAAATTCCGTTATTCTATTCTGTTCCTTTCTGTGAAAACATTTATGGTTTAGGAATTGCTGTAAGCTCCCCAGACCATAGACAAACCTTCAAATGCATCATGGTAGTGGCAGTTTGGGAAGCCCTACCCAAACAGGATGACATGGTGCAGGGTCACAGGCCCTACCCATCACTGACTGGATCCTGGGTGATCCCCTCATAACATACCTGCCCACAGGGCCAGGAGAGCTGAATAACCTCCCAGGGGCATCACCTATCACTCAGCTCTACTCTCTGCAGTAGGTGTGATCGACATCATTTTACAGATATGGAAACCGAGGCTCAGAGAAGTTTGAGAACTTGCTCAAGATTCAGTTAATAACATGTAGAGTTGGGATTCAAACTTAGGTGGAATTCTAAAGTCTCTATACTGCATTGCCTCCATGTATTAGTTATTATTGCTGTGGACAAATTACCAAACTTAATGTCTTAAAACAACAAACATTTATAATCGTACAGTTCTTGAAGACCAGAAATCCAGGAGTGGCTTAGCTGGGTGGTTCTGGTTCTGAAAGTCTCAAGAGGTGGTAGTCAAAGTGTTGGCCAAGGCTACTGTCATCTCAGAGCTCTGTGGAGGCTACTGAATCTGCTTCTAAACTCAGTAGTGAGGTTGTTGGCAGGCTTTAGTTTCTTGCTGGCTATTGGCCAGAGGCTTCAGTTCTTTGCCACATGGACCTCTCCAGAGGGCTGCTCACAACATGACAGCTTACTTTCCCCAGAGCAAGAGATTCAAGAAAAAGGAGCAGACAAAAGAGAATACCCCAAAACTGCAGTCTTTTATAAATAATTTACTTCTGCCACCTGATATTGGCCACACAGACCAATCCTGGTACAGTGTGGGAGGGGACTACATAAGGGTGTGAATACCACCTGCAGGTGCATTCCCCAAATCAGCCAGCCCACCCACACAGGTGAAGGAAAATCAGTTCTCCCGGTCTTGGTAAGTAGACCAGCCAAGCCAAGCCAATTTCCACCCGGGAAAACTTTCCCACACCGGCGTCCTCCAGACTCCACTGTCCTAGAGTCCCCAGGCTGAGACATCATCCAGCGATCGCGTCCTATGGGCCGCCCCCCACCCCGCCATCCCGCAGTGCCAAAACCCGGGCAGCCGTCGCCATCCCGAAGGACTACAGCCCCCAGCATGCCCTGCGGCGGCCTCGGAGCCACGTGACGATCTTCCCCGCGTGTCGCCGTCAGGTGACTTGGGGAAGATGGCCGCGTTGACAGCGGAGAATTTCGCGGCGCTCCAGAGCCTGCTGAAGGTAAATTGGAGGGGTGGGGACATCGTGAGGCGGGCCTTTGTCCCCAGGGCCTTGGGACGGAATGGGAATTGGGACCAAATGGACCCTGATTTGGAGCCATGACTCTGCTACTGCCTCTCTGGGTGACTGCGTCGTTGCGCCTTTCCGAGCTTTTAGAAAGCGGGCTCGAAATTAATACCGTCCTGACAGGATGGTGGGGGCACAGATAAGATAACGGACGTGAAGGTGCTGTACCGCTGCCCCCTACTAAAGGTCTCTGGGGCTGGTGTTCAGGATTGGTGTGTTGAGGTGGTAAGTGCTAGATCCACGTTGCCAGTTCCCCCTTTCATCCCGCAGCCCGTCTTCGCTCCATGGTTGAGAAATCTCCCTCCTCTGCTTCCTCTCGGCCCCCTGAGTGAAGTGGGCGTTCTGTTTCGAGTCCCAGGTTTTCTGTACGTGCTTTTACCTGTGTAAAGGCCCAAACACTCTCCTGATAATCATTTGAAAGATTGTGAGGCTTCTTAAAACCAAATGAAACGATGGACTGGAATTACTTGTTTAATTTCTAATTTCCCTTATGGAAGAAGGGGCGGCTTTATCTTCCTTTGTAGACATTATGCGTCTATTTGCCTGTTTTCTGCCTTTCTTGCAGAATGTAAGATCCAGTTGGGACTTTTCTTTTTTTGGTTTTAACTCCAGATGAAAAGGGTTGAGTTCATAACACTAAGCAATTCATGGCACGGCGTCATCATTGATTGGTTCATGCAATGGTCCCCCCTTTGTTTTCACAATCCCAGCAGTGTTCACTTGTATTCTCCATCCCTAAAAGCAACTACTCTGTGATATTCACAAATGTATCCCCAACAAGTGTATCCTCAACTTCTGGCACATAGCATGTGCTCAGTACATAGCTGTTATGGGAATTAATGAATGAAGTAACAAAGCTGAGATTGGAAACCTATGGCTCTCGGCTCACAGCCCTGGGCCTTTCCACCCTCATTCTGCCCACTCCCCACCCAATGCCTATTCATGGTATGGACTTTTTTAATACTTTAAAATAGTATTATTAATGTGTAACATAAAAGTACACAAATCATAAATGCACAGCTCAGTGATTTATTACACACCCATGTAACCATCACTATGGTCAAAACATATTACCAGTGCTGCGGAAGTCTCTCTATTGTTCCTTTGTTCCTTCCCTCACTCATCCCAGTAGTAGCCACTATCCTTGCTTTTAAAATCAATTTAATACATGTTTGAACTTCACATGAATGGAATAATACAGCATATACGTTTTTTATTCCAGGCTTTTTATGCTTGCTATTATGTAGCAATAGTTAATTCATTCTCATTCCTATTCTAGGTATTTTCTTTTTTTAAAAAATTACTTAGGGGTGCTCAGTCAGTTAAGTATCTGTCTTCAGCTCAGGTCGTGATCTTGGGGTCCTGGGATCAAGCCCTGCATCAGGCTCCCTGCTCAGCAGGAAGTCTGCTTCTGCCTCTCCCCCCATGCTTGCTGTCTCTCTCTCTCTCAAATAAATAAATAAAATCTTGAAAAAATGACTTAAAGTTTTTATTTTGAGGTAATTATAGATTTACATACAGTTGTTAAAAGTAATACAGAAAGGTCCCATTTACCCTTTACCCAGTTTCCCCCTATAGAAGCATCTTGCAAAACTATAGTGTGATATCCCAACCAGGATATTGACTTGGATACACTCAAGATACAGAACGTTGCCATCACTACAGGATCCTTCCTTTTGCCCTTTTATATTCATGTCCACTTCCCCTCTGCCCTCACCCTCTCCTTACCCTCTGGGGGGTGGGGGGCTGGTGAGAAGAGGTAGAGGGAGAGAGAGAGAGAATCACAAGCAGGGTCCATGAGTACAGAGCCTGGCATGGGGCTCGATCTCATGACCCCAAGATCACGGCCTGAGCTGAAATCAAGAGTCCAATGTCCAACTGACTGAGCCAGTCTGGAGCCCCTCTACATTTCCCTTTTTAATAAGGACACCGGTCCTATTGGAATAGGGTCCACCCTATGACTTCATCTTAACTAATTACATCTGCAACAATTCTATTTCTAAATGAGATCACATTTTGAGGTACTGGGACTTGGGACTTTAATATATGAATTTTAGGGGACACCATTCAACTCATTACAGGAGCTTTTGCAGAGCAAAAGTTTTAATTTTGATGAAGTACAATTTACTAACAATTTTTCCTTTTATGAATTGTACTTTTGGTGTCATGTCTAAGAACTCTTTGCCAAGCCATAGATCTCCAAATTTTCTCCTCTTTTTTCTAAAAGTTGTATAGTTTTACGTTTACATTACATTTTACATTTAAGTACATGATCAATTTTGAGTTAATTTTGTATAATGCATTTAAGACAGTTTGAGGGGTTCTTCTTCTTTTTTTTTGCCTGTGAATTCCAGTTGTTCCAGAACAATTTGTTGAAAATGCTGTCTTTCCTCCATTGAATTGCTTTTGCAACTTTGTCAAGAATCATTTGGGCAAATTTGTGTGGGTCTATTTCAGGATTCTCCGTTTTGTTCCATTGATCTATTTGTTTATTCCTCTGATAATACCTCACAGTATTGAGGACTGTAGCTATGTAATAAGTCTTGGAATCAGATTGGCTGATTTCTCCTTCTTCATTCTTTATCAGAATTATTTCAGCTATTCTAGTTTCTTTGCCTTCCTATATAATTTTAGAATGATTTGGTCTATGTTTAAAAAAACCTGCTGAGATTTTTATAGGAGTTGTGTTAAACTTGTATATCAATTAGGGGAGAATTGACATCTTTAGTGTGTTGACTCTTCCAATCCACGATGTATCTCCCCATATATTTAGATCTTTGATTTCTTTCATCTATGTTGTGTAATTTTTTAGCATACAAGTCCTGTACATGTTTTGCTAGATTTATACCATAGTATTTTTCTTTTTTTGAGCAATTGCAAATGATGATATTTTAAAAATTTTTTTAAAGATTTTATTTGACGGAGAGAGACACAGTGAGAGAGGGAACACAAGCAGGGGGAGTGGGAGACGGAGAAGCAGGCTTCCCGCCGAGCAGGGAACCTGATGCAGGGCTCGATCCCAGGACCCTGGGATCATGACCTGAACTGAAGGCAGACGCTTAATGACTGAGCCACCCAGGCGCCCCTATATTTTAATTTTTATTTATTCTTTTAAAGTTTATTTATTTTGGGGGCACCTGGGTGTCTTGGTTGAGTGCCCTACTCTTGGTTTCGGTTTGGATTATGATCTCATGGTTGCCGTATGGAGCCCTATATCGGGCTCCACGCTCAGCAGGGAGTCTGCTTGTCCCTCTCCTGCTTGTGAGTTCCCCTGTGCGTGCTCTCTCTCTCTCAAATAAATAAATAAAATCTTTTTTAAAAGTTTATTTATTAATTTTTTAGTAATCTCTACACCCAACATAGGGCTTGAATTCACAACCCTGAGATCAAGAGTCACATGCTCTTTAGACTGAGGTAGCCAGGTGCCCCTGATAAATGTATTTTTAATTCCAGTGTTTACATGTTCATTGCTAGTATACAGAAATACAACTTAATTTTTATATGTATCTCATATCTGCAAACATGGTGAACTCACTTATTCTAGTAGTTTTTTTGTACATTCCTTGAGACTTTCTGTGTAGACAATCATGTTATCTGCAAATAGGGACAGCTTTTGTTTCTACCTTTCTGATCTGTATATATTTTATTCCTTTTTCTTAACTTATTTCAGTGGCTAGAATTTTCAGCACTATGTTGAATAAGAGTGGTAACAGCAGACAATCTTGCCTTGTTCCTAACTTTAGATTTTCACTATGAAGTAAAATGCTATCTCTAGGTTTTTTGTAGATGCTGTATATAAAATTATGGAAGGTCCTGTCTATTCCTAATTTTATGAGAGTTTTCATCAAGAACGGATGTTGAATTTTGTCAACTGCTTTTTCTGCATTGATTGATATCTTGTGATTTTCTTCTTGAGCCTGTTAATATGGTAGATTACATAGGTATTTTTTTTTTTTAAATACTGAACCAGCCTCGCATTCCTGGAGCAAATCCCACGTGCTTATAGTGAATAATTCTTCTTATATGTTGCTGAACTCTATTTGCTCATGTTTTTTAAAGGGCTTTTGCATCTATTTTTATGAGGGATATTGGACTACAGTTGTTTTTTGTTTGTTTTTGTACAGTCTTTGTCTGCCTTTGATGTTAGGGTAATACTAGCTTTATGAAATGAATTGGAAAGTGTTCCATCATTTTTTGTTTCCTAAAAAAGATTGTGTAGCATTAGTTAATTCTCTCATTAAACGTTTGTTAGAATTCTCCAGCAAAACCATCTGGGCCTGGAGATTTCTTTTTGGGGAGTTTTAAATTATGAATTCAATTTCCTTAATCATTATAGGGCTATTCAAATTATCAGTTGCCTATTGGGGGAACTGTGGTAGTTTGTGTTTTTTGAGGAATTTATCCATTTTGTCCAAGCTGCCAAATTTATGTGTATAGAGTTGTTTGTGGTTATTATTTTCCTTTTGAAATCTTTAGGGTCTGTAGTGATATGCCCTGTTTCATTCCTGAGATTGCTAATTTGTGTCTCCTCTCTGCTTAACTTTGCCAGTCTTGCTAAGAGTTTGTCAATTTCATTGATATTTTCAAAGAACTAGTTCTTTGTTTCATTGATTTCTCTTTCTCTCTCTCTCTTTTTTCCCCCCTGTCTTCAATTTCATTGGTTTCTGCTCTTTGTTGTTTCCTTCCTTCTTCCTTTGGGTTTATTATATAGCTTTTCTTTTTCTATGTTCTTGAGGTGGGAATTTAGATTATTGATTTGAGAACTTTTCTCTTTTCTAATATATGTGTTTTATGCTGTAAATTTCCCTGTCAACACTGTCATGGCTGTGTCCCAAAAATTTTGTGGGTTTTTTTTTTCATTTTTATGTATTTAGCATAATTTTTATAGTATAATTTTTAAAATTTCCCTTGAGGCTCCTCTTTGATCTGTGGATTATTTAGAAGTGTGTTTAAGTTTCCAAGTTTTTGGATATTTTCTTGTCATCTCTCTGTGGGTGATTTCTAGTTTGATTCCATTGTGGTCATCAAGAACACACTCAATATGATTTCAGTTCTTTCAAATTTGTTGAGGTTTGTTTTATGGCTCAGAATATCATCTATCTTGGTACATGTTCAGTGGGCACTTGAAAAGAATGTGTATTCTGTTGCTACTGGGTTGTGTTCCATAAGCGTTGATTAGATTGATCAATGGTGTTGTTGAAATCTTCTGTGTTCTTGTCAAATATCTGTCTAGTTGTTCTATCAATTGTTGAAAGACAGTGTTGAAGTATCCAACTATATTTGTGGGCTTGTCTGTCTCTCCTGTCAGTTCTGTCTCTTTTTTACTTCTCATGTTTTCTAGCTCTCTTGCTGGGTGCATACATAGTTAGGATGTCTCCTTAGGAGATAGAACCTTTCATCATTATATAATGTCCCTTTCTGCCTCTGGTAATTTGCTGTGAAGGCTACGTTGTCCGATATTATTGTAGCCACTCTTGACTTTATTTCATTAATATTTGCATGATATATCTTTTTCCATCCTTTTACCTTTGTCTCTATTATTATATTTGAAGAGTGTTTCTTATAGACAGCATTTAATTGAGTCATACTTGCAACTCATATTTAATTTCCCACTTACAGCTTATGTAATTATTGAATATTAGAGCTTAAGTCTGCCATTTAATTTTTTTTATTTGCTCTTTTATGCTTTTTGTTTCTTTTTACTTTTTCTTGCCTTCCTGTGGGTTATTTGAACATATTTTTGGAATTCCCTTTTGATTTATCTGTAGCATTTTAAAATGCATTTCTTTTTATAACGTTTTTAGTGGTTCCTCTAGTTATTACATTTATATATGTAACATCACAATCTATCAGTGTCATCATTTTACCAGTTAGCGCTGAAGTATAGAAACCTTACTTCCCTTTATGTCATTTGTAATATAATTGTTTTAAATATTTCCTCCGCATACATTTAGAGCCGCATTGGACAGTGGTATAATTTTTGCTTCATCCTTAAACAGAATTTAGAAATTCAAGAGAAGGAAAGTCTCTTGGATTTACCCATATTTTTGCTTGTTGTGTTCTTTCTTCCTGATGTTCCAAGGTTCCAAGTTTCCTTTTATTGTTTCCTTTCTGTTAAGAGAACGTCATTTGTCTTGTGATATATTTTCATAGTGTTCTTTCATCTGAGAATGTCTTGATTTCCTCTTCATTTTCTGAAGGATATTTTTTGCTGGGTGTAGGATTCTTGGTTGACAGTTCTTTTCTTCCAACACCTGAGAAATATTGTGCCATTTCCTTCTTGCTTCCTTGAGTTCTGATTCGAAATCTGCTATTATTCTAATGATCCCTTATAGATAAGATGTTGTTTCTCTCTCACTACTTTCAAGATTTTTTTCTTTGCCTTTAGTTTCCTGGAGTTTAATTATGGTGTGTCTTGGTATGGATTTCTTTGGATTTATCCTGTTGAGAATATGCTTAGGTTCTTGAACACATTCAGTTATGTCTGTAGCTAAACTTGGAAAGTTTTCAGCCGTTATTTCTTTAAGTACTTCTTCAGCCTTTCCCTCTTTTATTCTCCCTTTCTAGGACTCCAGTGACATGAATGTTAGATTCTTTGGTATAGTCCCACAGATCCCCGAGGCTCTGTTCATTATTTTCAGTCTGTTTTCAGTGTGCAAACTGGGTGATTTCTAGTGGCTCTGTCTTCCAGTTTACTGATTCTTTCCTCTGCCCCTTTCATTCTGGTGCTGAGCCCATCTACCGAACTTTTTAATTTTGGTTATTGTATTTTTCAGTTCTAAAATTTCCATTTTGTTCTTCTTTGTATCTTCTGTTCCTTTGTTGGGACTTTCTGGTTTTTTTATTTGTTTCAAACATGTTTGTATTTAGGTGTTGAAGCATTTTTGCCATGGCTGCTTTAAAATCTTTGTCAGATAATTTTAACATCTGTTATCTCGATGTTGGCATCTAATGATTGTCTTTTTTCATTTAGTTTGAGATCTTTCTGGCTCTTGGTATGATGAATGATTTTCAGTTGAAACCTGGGCATTCTTGTGTTATCTTCTGAGATTCTGGAGGGTTTCTGCCTCATTACTACCAGATGGAGATGAAAGTCCAGGTTCTGCCCTTGGTTCCTACTGACACGCAAAAGTGGGGGTTCCTCGTTACTACTGGGCAGGGGTGGAAGTTCTGGCCCCCATGTAGTTACTATTAATACCAAGGGGTGGTGGGACTAACTGCCTGTCGGTGGGGATGAGGTCCCAGCTCCCTACTTAGCCTTCTCTGACACCACCTGGGTGGGGTGTTGGGATACCTCGTTGTAGCCTCAAAAGGGTAGAAGTCTGCATTCCCCACTCAGCCTTTGCTAACATAGGTGGGAGTGGGGCTACAGGTTTTTCTGTGGTGTTTGGCTCAGTAGAGCAGTTCTCACATAACAGTTTTCAGTCTTGCTAAGCTTTCTTGGTCCTTTGGGTAGAGAGAGCAGGTATTTATCTGTCGGGAGTTGTGTGTTTGTTTTGTTTTGTTTTTGTGTACCCATTGGCATTCTGGGTTGCCCTGTTCTTTAGCTCAAAGTCCGGGATATATGAGCAACAAGAAAATCCAGGAGACTCAGCACCATGTCATTTCTTGGTCTGGAGGGGGAGGCCCACAGCAGGTCCGTCTTCTCCCCATTCCCTCTCGGAGCGGTCTTACGTTTGTTTTCCACATAGTCCCCAGCGCTTTCAGTTGTGCTGAGAAGGGAAAATAAGACAAATGACATCTATGTCACTGCCCTGGAAATGGAGATGTCCTGTGCACCTTTAAATCTTGAGTCTCAAAGGTATCACACTATGACTGAGACAGTATTATGTTCTGAAACATGTATTTTCAGAGTCTGAGTGTTTTTTTTTTTTTCTCTCCATCTGTGAATTAATTCATAGGCCTCCTCAAGAGATGTTGTCAGACAGCTGTGCCAAGAGAGCTTTTCCATTTCAGCCCTTGGCTCAAAACAACTCTTGGATATTACATGTTCCAGCTTGTCTGTGACCCAGGAGGAAGCGGAGCAAGTAAGTATGGTCAGAAATGACCTTTGGCCACTGGCTTCTCAGCTCATTAGTCTCTTTCTTAACTTTCCAATCATTGCCACATTTCAAGGAAATTTTTCCCCTGAAATGTCTGTTGACATTATAACAAACTTAAAATAGATTTTTATTTTAATGCTAGTGAACTTAAAAGCTATTGTCTTTGAACCTTCACTTAATGAGGCAAGGGTGGGTGAACTATACCAAGAACCAGAGGTCCCGTCCATTTCCTTTTCAGACTTGCTCCCTAGACAGTGTGGACAAAAGCCAATCTTTCTGCGATTTTCTTGCCCTCTGACTTGCTGCTGCTGATAGATTGTCAGCCAGATAGCTAGACAGACTTCTTTGGGGGCACTGGGGCCTGAGTATGATTCAGGGGACATGCTGCTGGACCCCACCTGACCTCAGCTGGTGGCCAAGAGGAAGAGTGAGGTGACTCAGTTTATGCAGTACTCACAGCCTTCTCTTTTTAGGGCAAATATGTTTCTAAAATAGGAGTTCACTCAAACAGGCCTGCATTATTATTATTATTACTATTTTTAAACCAGAGCTCGGTTCATTGAAATCAGCTGTAGAACAGTAAAAGGCAGCATCCAGATTATGGAAGTGAGTTGAAGATTTAGTTTGGCTTCCCCAAAAGTAGACCCTGAGGCTAAGAGTGGTTGCAAGTAATTTCCTGGGGAGAGGAGTCTAGAACGCGCAAAGGAGGGGGTAGGGACAATCGAACAGGGAGGAGAGACAAAGCCAAGAAAGAATGTGTTGATGAGCGGGCACTGCTGTGGGCAGCGGGGCTCAAACTGGGGATCGTGTAAGAAACCCTGGGGAACACACCGCAGAACTGTCACCCTGGAGGGCAGGGAGGCTGGGGCATTGATGCACTGACCTCACCCCTCATCAGTGGAGGGGTAACATCCGCTCACCTCTCACCTTGTGCCTCTGCAGCTGAGCAGCCTCCCAGGGCATCAGAGAAAGCCCTAAAGCAGTTCCCTCCAGAGAGTCGTGGTAGTTTGAGCTGAGCATTGTTGCCTTCACAAGCTGGCCGCGGGCCATCCTTGGCTACTGTCTGTAGGAAGGACGTAGGGTGGGCAGGGCAGTGCCAGGCCCTCCTCCTCCCCAGGGGAGTCAGCACAGCTCCCCCGGGATCCATTTGTTTTCTTCGCCCTGCTCGGTGACAGCCTAGGGGCAAGGACACCCTGGATTTAGAGCCCAAACCCGGCCAGAGCCAGGACCTCTGGTAGCAGGTCCGTGAGCTCAGCTTCAGGGTCTGGCAGGTGGCACGCGGCCGTGCTCAGGGGAGCCGCCCACAGCTCTGGACCCCCAGGGGTTCGTGCAGAACTCCCAGTCCAGGTGCAGTGGCCACAGCAGCGTTGCCTAGTAACACAGCTGACTTTTCTTTTCCCTCGTGTTCCCAGGGAACAGGCTAGAAAGTGAACTGAAGGTCAGATTCTGTGCACAAGGAAAGGGGACTTATTAACCCTTTGCTCCCAAGCAGAAGTTTCTGGCACGTTGACAGCTTCCTATGTCAGGCAGCTACCCCTGTCTTCTAAAGCAACAGATGAACTTAGAGGTGACCCAGGGCACATGGGCATCAGTGTCTGGGACCGAGGTCTCAGGACCCATGAGACTGTTGGGACGACCGTGGCGGCGTGTGGCAGGCTGTGTCCCCCGCCGCGGGGCGGGGAGAGCCCTGCCCCCTGCCCTGCTTCTCACCACGGGCCCGTCCTACAGCTGCTCCAGGCTCTGCACCGCCTCACCAGGCTGGCGGTGTTCCGTGACCTGTCCTCTGCTGAGGCGATCCTGGCTCTCTTTCCTGAAAATTTCCACCAAAACCTCAAAAACCTGCTGACGAAAATCATCCTAGAACACGTGTAAGTGCTCATTTCTTGAGAGTTGCTTGTAATGCTCACATAATGATATTTTAGGTCAATAAATATTTAACCTTCAGTGTCCTTTTTAGTGGCTAAATATATTCTTTATATGGAGACATTACATAAAATTGAGTTAAGAAACTCCCTGCTGTTAGATGTTTAGGCTATTGGCAGTTTTCACTTCAGTTTACTGTGGAAACGTTGCTCACGTGCTTAATTATCTGCTTACTGGTTAAAGACGAGAGTGAGGCTTCTGCTTTCTAGTCTCAAGTTGACCATCAGGAGGATTGCACCAACTGGTTCTAGGAGGAGGACCTGAGCGTGCCCCTCCCCCCACACCCTCATCGCCCCGAGGGAGCCGGTTTCCCATTCTCCCCCAGTTCACAAATGGCAAATGCGCCTCACTTCAGTTTATTTATCTTTGATACTAGTGATGTCAGATATCTTTCTCACATGTTTAATTGGTCATTTTTGTTTCTTTTGTGAATTATCTAGATATTTTCTTGGAAAATCCTTTGGATACATACAATTTAAGCAGAACTGATTAGCTACTGGTCAGCAGCAGGCTTGACCAGAATTCTCAGGCAGTAATAAGAGATAATCTCTGCTTGTCAAGGATTTTATTGTTTATTTAGAAACTTTTCTCACACGTGACCGCATTTTATGCTGCCTCTGCTTAGCATCTCACTATGACGCTCTTTGCTGTAGCATTAGACGGGTCTATTTGGGTGTGTTTTGCATAAAAGGCAGTACTTTGTGGAGTAGATGCTCAATAAAAGAGCATTGGTTCATTTTTTTTCCTTTTTAAAGATTTTATTTATTTGAGAGAGAGAGACAAAGCAAGAGAGGGAACACAAGCAGGGAGAGTGGGAGAGGGAGAAGCAGGCTTCCCGCTGAGCAGGGAGCCTGATGCGGGGCTCGATCCCAGGACCCTGGGACCGTGACCTGAGCCGAAGGCAGACACTTAACAACTGAGCCACCCGGGCACCCCGTTGGTTCACTTTTCCTGCTTCATCTCTGAGAACGGTAACACGACAAGAACACAATGCATTAAGCCTCTTCTTTCTTTTTGCCTCCTAAGCTACGAACACTAACAGTGCTTATGGCCTTACCATCACTGAGCTATGTAGAACAAACAAGAAACTGCTTCTGCCACGCAGCATACGTTTCTTTTTTTTTTTTTTTTTAAAGATTTTATTTATTTATTTGAGAGAGAGAGAATGAGAGAGAGCACGAGAGGGAAGAGGGTCAGAGGGAGAAGCAGACTCCCTGCCGAGCAGGGAGCCCGATATGGAACTCGATCCCAGGACTCCAGGATCATGACCTGAGCCGAAGGCAGTCGCTTAACCAACTGAGCCACCCAGGCGCCCGCAGTGGACGTTTCTGTGGTCGTTTCCTGTCAGGGAGTGATGATAGGCTCGAGGATTCCAGAAGGGGTAGAGGCCCAGGTCCACAGGCCTCGCTCATGATCGATTCTCATCCCTTTTCCATTCTTTTTTCCTCATCTTTCCCTCTTAAACAGCTCTACTTGGCGACTGGAAGCCCAGGCAAATCAGAGTGAGTACCAAGGACCCGCCTTCCTCCCTACCCTTCCTTCCTGGCCCCGGCTCGAACTCTGCCAGGCGGCCAGACTTCGTAACCGAAACTCAACGTGCATTAACCTCATCCCAAATTCGTCTCTCATTTTGTGCCGGCATCTGGAGGCTCGTGTGTGCAGGCAGAAGCCTGGCCGTGCACCCACCATGAATCAGTGCCAAGTGCAGGTGGCACAGAGCCGTGGCGAGGAAGGCCCCTGACTTCGTCTCCCTCGGAGACTTGTCCTGTGGCTCAGGGGCATGACCAGCCCTCCGGGCTGCCTGTCCCAGAGTAAGGGCTTGGTGAAGGGAGCGGCAGGGGCTCTGAGCTGGTCCGTCTCCTTCACAGTCTCTCTGCCGCGCCTGGTTGACCTAGACTGGAGAGTGGACATCAAGACCTCCTCCGACAGCATCAGCCGCATGGCTGTCCCCACCTGCCTGCTGCAGATGAAGGTGCGTCCACTGCCGGGCTCGTGAGAAGGGAGGAAGGGGCCACAGTGACGCAGCACCCCCGCGCGCTGTCGAAAATACCAGTCTCCAAAGCTCTGGGACCTCCGACCCCGTAGAAAAAAATTCAGCACCTCCCAGATGCGGTCTCTGTTTGTCAAGTACATGGTCACTACTGTACTAACATATTACAGACATAATAAATCATACACTGGAAGTAGAACTTTTGAAAGGATAAGACAAACACAAAACACAAGTTTTAAAAAGGGTTTGCTGCTCCCTGAAGTTTACCTTCTACACTAACGGGGAAGTTTAGCTTTCACGGTGGGGGCGTGCCATCAGATTTCGGATTGCCTTCTTGATAATTTTGGTGTCCCTCAGGCAACTGCTTGTCCGGGTGATTGTGCTGCCACAGTTTGTGACGCGGCTGAGCCGGAGCTCCCGTGAGCGGCTGGAGAAGCAACAGTCCATTTCCTTGTTCGCACACTCTGGCCTCCCCGGTGTTACCTTCAGTCTACAGATCTTTTCAGGAATCTTTTTAAACCACACTATCTATGGTGAGGGCTTGTTTAGTGATGCCATATTTACTTAACCACATACCCAGAAACTCAGCTCCTGTAAGAAGATGAAAAAGTAAGGGTGCCTCTAACAAGTAAGTTTTTAAACACTAGTAGAGGTGACTTTTGTTTTTAAAGAAACAAATATAACTAGGAGCTGTAATGTTTTTTCTGCATCCCAGTGGATCCTCACTACCCCTAGAGCCCCCTGCGTCAAGTACCCGTATGGGCCCCTACAGTATCTCCTCACTCGGATGCTGAGAGTCAGGGGTCCAAGGGGTGAGTGAGCCTTGGCTTCTCCCATACCCGCCCTGAGCACTGCTCTCCCAAGCCTCTGGGACTCTCCTTCCATCTCCTCGTTTGCTAAAGGATGCCAGGCCTAGGACTCTCTGTAGCTCTGAGCAAAAAGCCTGTCTTCAGAGGTTCATCGGAACGGGGGACGGCTCCCAGCTCCAGGGCTCACCTCCAGGACGGTGGGAAGAAGGGCGGCTCTGACGTTTGGGCCCTGTTCTCTTTTCAGATCCAAGAAGATCCTAGTCTGTGTGGAGACAAGCCCTCCATCTCAGCGGTCACTGTGGAGCTGAGTAAGGAAACGCTGGACACTATGCTAGACGGCCTGGGCCGCATCCGCGACCAGCTCTCAGCCGTGGCCAACAAATGACCCCAGCCGGCTGCCGGCCCCATGGCCGGGCCCCAGCTGCCGGCCAGCGGTGTGCGCCTCCCAGCCCCCGCCGGGCCGCCCCCCCTGCAGCAGCTGCGGCTGTTGGCAGGGTCTGCAGGCCGGCCAGAGGGGACGGGGAGGGGGCTACCATCCGGAAGGCACAGCTGCACCGGGAGGAAGCAGCCCTGGCCCCGCGCTGTTCTCCTCCCTCGTCATCTTTCGTCCTTCTGAAGCTGGTGAGCAGAAGCCCCCATCTCTGGAAGACGTCCTCACCACTGCGGCAGTGTGAGGGGGCATCCGCACCATCAGCTGCCTCTGCGTGGCTGCCTGGAAAATTCAGGCCCACGTTGTGGAGCTCATCTAAGAAGTTCCTTTCCAGCATTAGGTCTGATTGGTCCGTTTCCGGCCCTGGAGCACAGGGAGGGAATCACGGGGCTGAGGCCAGCAGTTGGCGCTTTTCCATCGGAGAAGCCGGGCAGAGCCTGTAGAGCCATGGGGCCCCCCGTCGGCCCAAGTCCAGAGCCTTCCTGAGCCCCCTCAACCCTGCGGGCCCTCCTTCCAGCGTAGGGAGTCTGGAATGGGTGCTGACTTCCTCCTTCATGAAGCCACAGGGCCTGTCCTTGATACAATGCCAGGGGAAACAAGTGGGAGTGATGGAAATAAATAATCGTTCTAAAGACTTCATGACTCTAGTCACGTTTTTTGAAGCTTCTGTCCTTAACCTGAGTTGTTGCTTTACACCAGTGTCGCCTCTCATTCATAAAGGTGACCCCAGCTTCTCATTGCCCGCTGAGCTCGTGAGCACGGTGTGGCCTGAAAGCAGGCTTGTGAGCCTTACCACCTTCCAGGCGTTCGTCTGTCATGTGGAGCCAGAGAAAGCTAGGCGGACAGGCAGTGTGTGCCTGTTACAGGGGCTGCAGCCGGCCGTCAGCGCTTGTCTTGGCGGCTCTGGGCGGCGTGTGTGGACGAGGGGAGCGTGTGGGTGGAGGAGGCAGAGCCCTGGGGCCAGAGGATGGGCTCCAGGTGGGCTGCCAGGGCTGGAAGCCAGCTCTGCCTCTCAGTGGCGAGGGGCTTGACCCTGCCTCTCAATTCTCCCCCTCCCTTTTTTTTAAGATTAAATGGGGATAATAATAGTACCTCCTCTGTAGGGCTTCTGTGAGGATTAAATGCTGCCACGTCCCTGAAAGCACTTATTAGCACCGTGAGGGCGGATAAGAGAGGCTTGATCGGGTTCGCTCTGATTCTTAAACGAAAGGAAGGTGGAAAGCCCTCCATGGTCACCGTTTCATTTACTGTCGCAGCGTTGGTGCGACGGTGAATGTCATTATCCTCTCTTTATCGATGAGGAAATCAGCTCATTGAGGTTAAGTCACCTGCTGGTAAATGGCCTCATTAGGACGTGGGCCCACATTTCTCTTGCTTTCTCTCTACCACACAGGGCTCTGCAAGGGACGTGGCATTCTGTGACTTTAGCTCCATTTGGAAACTACTGGAACTGAAGTAGAGATGAGAAAACGTACTCCTAAGACACTAGGAATGTCGAGAAAAAAATCCCAAGCTCCTCTTTGCTGTTTCTTGGAAGCTGAGCAGCCTTCTGTTAACATGGCGGTTCTTAACATTTTGGGGGCTGTGTCCATTGATAATCTCTGAAAGCTGCCGATCCTTTCTGTAGGAAATGAACATTCCATTTTTTACGTTCAGTGACAAGAGTTCGTGGACCCTGGAAGTCAGCCTACTGTTTCCAGATTGAGAGTCCCTGGTCTTACTGTCAGGTCGAGTATGGCCTTGTGAATTCAACCCCTTTGTTTTCCTTCCAGTCCCTGTGACCCACAGTCTGATCTCCAAGTCCCTGTTCTCTGGGCCTCCCAGGGGCATCCATAAGAAAGTAACCTGAAGCAGCATAGGTGTCTGGGCAGTTGGACGTCATTCCTTCAGCCAGATCGACCTGAACAGAACCATCTGGGTGCATGACATATAGAGGGCATTCGATAAATATCGGAAAATTCGATGAATGTTTGCTACCCTTCACCCCATGTGCTCACTTAAGGGGTTTGTTTTCTACTGTTAGGGAGGATGGATTGTTTGTAGATACCATATTCCTAGCTGGCCTGATCCTATCAGAAAAACATCCTAGTTTCTATCTATTGATCTCAAAGCCAGTTCCCTCATTCAGTGCTTGTCTGGTTTTCCAGTAGTACTTTGTGTAATGAACAGCCATCTGCAAACTGTCCTTTCCTTAGCACATGGCAAGGTGTGGATGTCCAGACTCCATCCACAAAAGGGCAATGATAAATCTAGCATTGGTGCCTGTGCTTCTGGCTGCCCAGCACTTCCCACCCACCAGGCCACGGTGGAGAGCATATTTCTCAATGCTAATCAATGTGCATGTCCTATAGATTGTCTCATGATTGTACATGACCCAGATTGGGCCAGTCTGAGTCTTTCCCTATGACTTTTTCTGCCGGAATCTGCAGTGAAAACTGTCTCCTGCCTCTGGGCTCTGGTGATGAAGCCAGGATGCTTGGGTTCTTCCTGCCACATGGAGAAAGCCCATCTGCAGGGGGGGAAGGCCAGCTCAGAGCAAGGCAGAACCCAGAGGCTGGGAAAAGGATCAGGAAATCCAGTGTGCCTGATCCCAATCCGTCTTCCTCGTAGTCTTTCCTAGTGTAAAAATGTACCTGGGATTTGTTTTTACTGGGAGTGGTAAGATACACAGGAAAATGATTGTCAGGAAGGTGGTTTATATGCGCAGAGCCCTAGAGTCGGGAGGCATGGCACATCACACAAGGCCATGTGGGGAAGACCGGGGTGGGTCAGGAGGCAGGGAGGGCAAGGGAATAGCGTGGCCTGGAGCCTTTATTGGGGTTTTCACAGGAAGCACCGGACAAGGCAGAACAGGTACATTGAGTAAGCTCAGGATTGGCCAGTTGGAATGATTTGGGCAGGCTCTTGACTACACGAGGGGTCCCTAGTTGTGCAGTACCTGGTCCTGGGGTGACTCGGGGCAGGGGGACCATTGTTCGGTGTGTGAGAGTTTGATAAAAGACATAGTTGGGAGGGGCGCCTGGGTGGCTCAGTCGGCTAAGCGTCTGCCTTCGGCTCAGGTCATGATCCCAGGGTCCTGGGATCGAGCCCCGCATCGGGCTCCCTGCACGGCGGGAAGCCTGCTTCTCCCTCTCCCCCTGCTTGTGTTCCCTCACTGTGTCTCTCTCTGTCAAATAAATAAATAAAATCTAAAAAAAAAAAAAAAAGGCAATTGGGGTGTGGCTGTGGATTGATTGATTTCTGTATTAAAGCCATGTTCTCAGGGGAGTTAGGAATTAGCCCCACGAAAGAGAGTCTCCAGGATCAAGGTCCCAAATGCCAGAGCATCAAGAATACAGAAAATAAAATGTAGTCAGTGTGAGATTATGTAGAAATCACACACAATCCCAAGGTTGCAGTGGCTTTTAGCTTCACAGAAGTTTACTTTTCCTCCCAACCAATGGAGACTGGACAGAGAGTAAGTGTTCTCCTCACCATAGTCACCAAGAACAATGGAAACTTCGTCCCAGTATATGCCTCCCCTCTCACTGAGGTGGGGTGAGGGAACGTGGCAGATGGCACGCTTGCTCTTAAAGCTTCTGCCCAGGAGTGACAAGCAAGTCACATGGTCACACCTAACTAAAGAGGGCAGAGAACTTCAATGCTACCACACACCAGGAAGGAAGGGAAATGGGATCTTTGTGATCAGCTCTGATGACTACTGTCCACCATCAACTGAACCAAAAGATGCCTTTTCTGCTCCAGCTGATTTGCCCTTATAAACAAAAGAGTGGTGAGCAAGAACATGTGTGCCATCTTATTATCTTTTCTCATGATAAACCTCATCACCTGTGTGGCACTGGAAACATTTTCCCAAATGTCTTCGTGCCTCTTCACCTTAACCTCCTGGGGTCAGTGGAGCATCTACTCATCAGGGAGTTAGTTGTGCATTCCACGCAGAGGTCACCTTGCGAGGCCCAGGGTTGAGTTAGAACTTGCATCTGGGTCTTTCAACTTCAAAGCCAGTAGTGTCTCCATCCCTGCTTCGACTTTGGGAAAAGAACACTTGGATCCTTCACAGATGGCTGACCTTCCCTTAATCTGGTGACTCTCTGCTCTCTGCCTCTCTGGTCCTGCCTTACAACTTCAACCTGGGGCCCCCTTGGCCTCCCTTTCTGGTGATTTTCGGGTCCAAAGACACTGACGTGAGGACCAGACATTTAGGTCTTTCCCACACGAACCAGTTCTCTAAACACACAGAGTGAGCACCGAGTCCAGCAGTGATTTGTCACGCTCTGTGGGCTGGTATTTACGAATTTCTAGGAAGTGAGTCCAGTGTGGTGTAGAAGGCTCTTCATTATTTCGCTCAGTAAGCTGAGATGCTATCAGAAGTGAAAGAGTTTTTATTCCTTTTCAAAAATACTTTCATCTGGAAACCATTGGCTACCTGGCATTTTGAGGGCTTTCCAGTGGTTGAACATTTACAAGAACGATTTTGAACCGGTAACCGCTGACTTCCAAATGCTAATCATTACTAAATATCCTCTGACCTGCATGATGCTGCCTTTTGTCCAACTTCCTGTTTTCTTTAGTGCTCACATTTCAGTGGCTTAATTGTCCTTTTTACAACTACTCTAAGAAAGGAAAAAAAAAAAGATTTCTTAATAGTATTCCCTGACTTGCGCCAAAGAACCTTAATCTCTAAGGAGAGAGAACCATTCTTAGTTGGAGGAAATGTCAAGAGCACTTAAAGGTAACTCTGAGAATCTGAGTTTCTATTAACCCTAGGCTCTTGGGAAAGACTCTGCTGGGCTTTCACGCACCTGTAAGTGGAGATAAGATAACTCCTTAGGTAAGGCATCTCACAGATTTGCAGTAAACTATGAAGCGGACCTGTTGACTGGAGAATGGGACTTTCTTGGCTATTGGTATCAACGTTGCGCTAGCCATACGACCTTAGACACACGCCACACAATGAAATACGACACTGTCCCAACAAGTGGAATGATGAATGCTTGGGGATACCAGAGGGCACTGGGGTCATTGTTAGAAACATACTGGATCAGGAGATGGCCTCTGGTGAGGATTTCGGGAATTCTACGAGAGCTCCTCAAGGCATTCCTCTGGTTTATTCAACTTCTGGGAGTGCGAATCACCATATTCAGATGTGGATTTGGGAGTGCTTCAACAAAAGCTCAGTTTCCACGGATGAAAGAATT